GGAGAAAGTATGGAGCACCGCGCGCTTGCTTCACTAAGTCTCTCCCCAGCTCTCCTCTGCCCCGAAAGGGTTTACGACAGTCCAAAATGCTCAAATAACAAATTTTCAAGCCGTCGAAATGAGGTTTCGGTGACACGTGAGTGGGACACATGGTCTAAATTGGCCTGGTGAAAGAAACTGTTTAGCAGCCAGACTTTAGGTGCCAAGCGACACCAGCGGTGCCAGTTGGCGCGCACAGACTCCGACACCATTGTACGAGAACGCAAAATGGCAACCTCTCCTTTGCGTATATATTCCCTGGCTGATCTGTCTGATAACCATCGACCAAAAAGGCAAATGTCAGCAATCGCCACGCCTTGGCGGCAAAGTTCACTAGCCCCTGATCTTCTGAATGAATGGGTGGTCAGTTTGATCTCTTCTCCAGCCAGCAAAAGGGCCAGTTTCTTGACCCAGCGCAAAACAGAAGAGTATGACATATCAAACACTTTGGTATCTGTGGCACAAGCCCCGTGCTGTGCCCCAAAGCGACCCAACCATTCAAACACTGTGCCATTGCTAATAACGACTTTTTGTTCCATGCCGCCTTTGGTTTGCCCCAAACAAAGTGTGACATTGCCGGCAGCAAAGAAAATGTCAGACCATCGCAATTGCAGTGCCTCCCCAACCCGTAACAAGCCTGAGAAACAAACGCAAATGAGAATGCCCAACGGAGCGCGGTTGAGTGCAAATGCAGCCACCATCATCGCTGTAAGCAGTTCTGGGGGGGCTGCCGGTGCCTGCTGTGGTGGTTGCAAGCTACCCCACACTTCAAACACACGCCAGGCAGTTTTGTACCGGACACGAGGATTCATTCTGCCCAAAGCAGACAGAACATAGCCATATTCGGTGCGCCCACTGCCTTGTTCATAACCATCAACTAGCCACTCAGCTAAAAACAAATCCTGCTCTGCCTCAGTAAGAGAGGCCCAATCGGTTTGCGTCTGCAAGATCTCACGATTGAGGAGCTGAATTGCTTGTTGGTATTTTTCTCTGGTGGCATCGCGCAATGACTTCAGCAAGAAAGCTTCGACTCGGTGCCGGCCAAGTCCAAGCCGTGCGCTGCTGGCTAAACCAAGGATCCCTGCCAAAAGAATCAGAATGAACCTGCATGGGTGCATATGGTTGTTCATACCCGTGACTCTTCGAAGCAAGAATACGTGTAACAAACAAGCTGGCCAGCGCTTGGCTCAGTCCGGAGGGATATGCTGTAGCCGCTGTGGTTCTAAAACATTGCCCCGCCGAATCCCAACCAAACAGTTGTGTGTGACCTTGGGTGTGATTACACGTGCGTACAAACTCATCATTCCCATAAGGCAACACTAAACCAGTCGGCTTCCTTGTTTTTGCTCCAAACATGCATTGATCAATGACATAAATGCAAAGACGAACAATGCTGCACAGCTGTTGGATTTCTGTTGAGCAAAAAATTGATGGGTATGGTTCGCAACCACGATCAGCCGGATGCTCGCCTCCAACCCATGCCCCAAAAATTCTAGCCTCTCCCAACATACCGATGCAAATGAATGCTAACGCCGTGCCAATGTCGACTGAGTGGTTTTCTCTTGAAGTCCGATTCGGAAGACAAGACCAAGGGTTCGATCGGGCCCTCAGGGGCCGTGGCCCGACTTGTGCACCTGACTGTCTATGCAAAGGTTTGTGCCGCACTGCTGAAAAAGTAGAGCAAGGCGGTGAAACAAAGAGGCCTGCAACACGTCCTGACTGTACTAGCTGTAAAATGTGTAACATGCTATGCCCATCTAGTAAGTCATTGCAAGTGAATCCAAGATCACGTTGACTCATAGGAGACAATGGATCAACGCGCAACCCGTAGATGTGCAGGCCGTGTTCCTGACTAAGGCGCTCAACCCAGCTCACCAGGTCATCATCTCGTCGCGTTCCTGAACACAAATGCAAAAAGAAACGCTCGTTGCCCGACCATGATGGTAATGTCCGGGAGAGTCCAAAAGGGTCAAGGAAAACTTCTTCAAACGCCTCGGGTTGAACTGGCGACTCTGAGTGGCCCTTGCGCTCGCCTTCGAAGAGACGAGAGGGCTTGTCAGCCGGATTGTCACCTGACGGAATCCAAGGATAAAAAGTCTCATGGCCCCCTGCTATTCCGATTGCGCACAGCTTCTGACACCGATGGTTCAAAAGCCGACTGGAAGACCGCCCCTTCATAAAAGCCCCAACACAAGAAGCACTATCAAGTGGATGTACAAAACGATGTTCATCATCACACGCACGCCTCAGCCTGCATTCTGCCACCCACACTGCCGCGTCAGCTTCTCCCAAAAAAATGTATAATGGCCTCCAGCGTGCACCCGCCGTGTGCCAATGGAAGAGGTTGCGGGGCAGTTTCAACTTACGTAGTGGACACTTGTCTTCTTCGTTCAAGGCTAACCCAAAGGGGAGATTCAAATTCGTGTATGTCCCTGGGTGGTCACAGAGCTGAGCCATTCGCTGCACTAGATCGCTTGGCATGGTGGCCCATGCTCGCCCGATGCCTGACATTGAGGCATCACTGCATTCAACTCTCTGGCTAAACGGCGCTGACAAGTTGAACTGCGCATAGGGCAACAACAATGCGGCTGTCATCAACTCACACCAAATGACATCCGGCAAGGTTGTGACACGCACCTTGCGACCCCGTAGATCATCAAGCCAGCCATAAACCTCCACAAAGATTGAACGCATCACCGGTCGGCTCGAGTGCACGAACCCAAACTTTCCAACCAGTCGTTCAATGTCGCCAACAACGACCGATGGTGAAGTCAGCACATGCCAAACTGCTTGGAAAAGAGCCCTACGTTTCGTCAAACTAACCCCAACCCAATGCAAATCTGGATCAACATAGTAACCCTGTAACTCTTCCCCTGGACTCGCATCAATTGCCTTCTTATGGTTTGGGTGTACTCCACGATCTACCCAAGCCTGCTCCGCCCGCGAGAGCCAAGTAGGTCCGCAAAAGGCCGCCTTCGTCTCCGCCTCAGTATGCTCAAGCGCCCAAATATCATCGCATATGGATCCCCAAATAGGCAATGACGTGGGTGCAAACGCATCTGGATGTAGTCTACAGTCACTAGGTAGGTCAGCCTGGTTAGTTGCGACGTCTGTCAATGCCTGTGCCCAACCTGCGCTAGGACCAAACCCCATAGGTGCTGTGCATGAAGCCGGATACCTCAGACCCCTGCCGAAGTCCGCTATAGGTGGCCCACATAGCCATCGTTGCCACTTGCGCCCAATCCTCAACGAGTGAAAATAGTGGCGAGCGTCTCTCTTCGACACCAGCAGCCTCCCTGTGCGAGGTACCAGGGTTACCCGCAGCTTCGGGATATAGGCAAAACGGGGCCGGGGAAGCTTCTGTGGGTCCAACAGCTGATTCACACTAGGATCAGTAATTACCCTGTCCTCTGTCTCGTCCTTAGGCACGGCAAATGCTCCAGCTAGGCATAGGCTACCTCTGTGCTTAGCTACCTGTTTCTCCTTCTTCAAGACATGCAATCCAGCTTTAACATTCTTACGGACTAAATCAGGATAAGAAGAATTCACCCAAGTGTGCCCGCGCTTGATCCGGATAGGCCTCAGCCTCGATGGAAGAAGAAGCAGCTTCGGCTCCCGGACCTGTTCAGCATATAGCGGAAAGTCCTTTTCAAGCTCCTCAGATAAATTGACTGTTGCAGCCGAGGTTGGCACTCCCCCCCGACTACCTAGTGGAATGGCTATTCCCCCTCCAGTATAGTGCTGGTTGTGCTTCAAAAACTGACGAATCTCATCAAGACTCATGAGCTCAAAATCCATCATCATGTCTTTGAGCCCTGACCCCAACCGGGCCTGGATGCGTGAGTGGGCAGCTGAGACAAACTTGAATTCAACGTCCAAGCTCCCATGCAGCATATTCAAGGCGGCCTGAATGAGATTCACGCCATGAGCAACACCGAACTCTTCATCCGAATCCAGGGTGCCCATTCTGTACTCCATCACCCGACCATTCTGAACAAAAGGGGGCAAAGGAAAGACATGCGGCATACTGCATCCATCACCTGACTGTGTCAGAAAAACTCTATTGAATTCGTGTCTCCTCCGAAGCTGTCCCTGGCCCTTGCCAATCCTCCACAAATGAACCCCATAGCTCAACAATGTGTTGTGATGCGCAAAGACCTGCTCCAACCCAGAAAAGATCATGCAAAAATACTGCAACCCCGAAGATGGCTCACCATTGTGACTTCTCCAGCGGTGCAGCGCTTTCCTGAACCGGCGACTCAATTGGTGAGAGCCAGCATCGACGATGAGGCCAGGCTGGTTCCACTGGGAATCAGTTCGATCGATTCGGCTTTTTCCCAAGACCCTCCTTTCCTCTTCGCCTGCTGGATTGCCAGGATGCGCTGTGCAAGGATGTCCATTGCTCTGGCAATTTCCTTTCGATTGACTGCATCCATGGCCTCGGCTAGGGTCAAGACCTCCCTCACATCTCTCACTTCTGTCAGACCGCTGTGTTGAGCGGCCCATGAGACCACACTGGCCTCCCGCAGCTGACTGCTGCGTTCCACCTTTCCTTTCGAAAGACGAGCGTAGATCGATGCCAGAAAATGTCCTGACAGGGCCCCCGGATGGCGGCTTGCGTACGCCAGCAACTCTCCCTTGCGCTTGAACTTCTCCGAGTCCACTGCATGCACCTTCTTGTAACTGACCTCGCGGTCCTTGCCTTTGGGCTTCCACAGCAAGGGCCCCGAAGAGCTCTGACTTGAGCTGCGGCTGGATGCACTGCTTCGTGATCGACTCGTGGACGAGCCGCTGGAACTGTCTTTCCTCTTCTTTTTCTTCTTCTTGTCCTTGGACTTCTTTCTGGATCGTTTCTTCTTCTTGGACTTCTCTTTGCTCTGACCTTCTTTCTTCCTGGCCATGTCCTTGAGCTCCTGGATGACATCCGATAGGCTTTGCAAGTTGAAAGCTCCTCCATCTGCCTCTGGGGCCGGCACCGGCCCGAGCGCCCCGACAGCCCCTCGCGGCGCCGCTGCCGAAGCCCCGCCTGCGATGGGAGCGGCGGTGAATGGAATCAAGCTCATGCCCCTTCCTGGGATTGTGACCTGACCGTCTTGGACCCCAATTCTCTTCACATGCAAGCCCAAAACTGCCGCCTCTTGCTTCAACGCTGCTGCCTCTGCCACTGTTGGAGCCCAACGCTGATCCACATGTTCTGGCGAACATATCCAGTTGACTGTTGCTGGAGCAATACCCGGAGGTGCTGCCCGCTGTGCTCCTGCCCCCACTGGTGGGCGCAATGAGCCCGCTTCACAACGAATCAACGACCAGATCCAGTCAGAACCGTCCTCGTTGGTGCTGCGTGCAATGAGCTCTCCAGAATCCGGTACTAGACCGGCCACCCAAATCTCGTCCCACTCCCCGCTGCGCTCTGAAAGAAAAAAGCCTTCCATGTACAGGTGTTGACAGGTTAGCCACAAGTGCTCTGTTTCTATGCCTGTTGATGGCTCTTCTTCTATTTCAGGGGTGTCCAAAAATTGTGCCTTTCGGTCAGTAACTTGGATCAAGCAACGGAACACACGCCACACAATAGAAACCAACGACCAGATCTCCGATCTTAGCTCAAAAATCACCAGCACACAAAGGAAATAGTAAACTCCTTCCCAAGTGGATTTGATGCAATGAACCAAAGGCTCCCAAAGTGCCGATCCAACACCCTCCAGAGATCCACCGACCGCAGCCTTCACGCCAGTCCTGATCCACAACCGGATCAAATGTCCGCCAAAAGCCGAGGTTGAAATGGCAACCAGGCTCCGTGTCACCGTGCTCATTGATGCTTGAGCCAAAATTAAAATTGAGATGCCGCTCGACGAGCCTCTACATGCGTCCAGAAAAAACTCTTGGTCATGCTTCCCAAATCTCAATATACCACCACAACCACGATCACGACAACGATAACGACAACCACCACCACTACCACAACCACAACCACAACAATGAACAACACCAACACCAACTACCACCATCACACAATTCATGCCATTCCTCTCTTAGAGGGTCCCCCATAAAGCCCCAAACAACTTCAATTCCAGGCGTCAGTTGCCCGCGCGGTGGGCGCACACCACGCACCGTCAGCGGCGTGGAGCGGCGGAAGTCTAAGCCCAATGGCTTGGCCTGTTGACTGTGTTTCGAAGCCCGTGAAACCAATCATGTGCTTGTGTTTCCCAGACTGAGCACCGCAAAACTGACTGGACATATATATATATATCTTCAGAGAGAAACATATGGATGACAGGGAATGGTTGGCCAAAGTTGCTTAGAATTCCTCACCTGGCACTTTAAACATGCGGAACCAAAGAACACATGCACTGGCATGCTCTGCCTATCCAAAGGGAATTGTTTGTGATAGAGCTGTGATCAAAGGAATTGGGTCTGTTCCGCCGTGCTGCAGCTCTCAGGATCCATCTTCAGCCAACCATGATGACGTCGTCAGCGGCCGACAATGGCCGAATCGGACAGCTGGGATGGTGAAGAACTCTTCTTCGGGTCCATATCCCCTCATTGACCTTCTTTCAAAACACAACATTGCACTTCCTCACAGGGCGATCATGTTTACCACATATAGACTTAAACCAGGAACATATGCCCAACTAAGAAGAAATACACTTCAAGCACAAGTCACTAGGATGCATCAACTAGGGAAGGTGCATCAACTAAGCGCAGTCAACAAATGAACTCTCTTCCATGCTTGGGCTGCATCACTCACTTGAAGGGTCCAATGTGGCCAAGGTCAATGCTTGACCCACCCAGTCCGTTCTGCCTTGAAGAGCACCTCTTTAGTGGAGCAGTCAGGCAGGAGAAAAGTGCAGCGCAAACCTTCTTCGCCCTCCTCGCAAGGCTCCTGGTCAGCAAGAACCATAAACTCTGAAGTTCAGTAGAAGTGCAAACTGGCTTCCGCAAAAAGTTTCACTGGATAAAGCCAGTATAAACTGTTCTTTTGGGAAAAGTGCAAAATCCAGTGAAGCCAGCCATGGAAAAAGAGAAACGCTTCCGTAACAGGAATGCCCGTCATAATGCAAAGAAGCTCGGAACCAAAGGGGACACTTTCTGCGTCTCTACTGGCTTCTAAATGCTCTGACCTACAGTATCTCCTTCGGGACGTTCGGATGGACCGTTGGATCTACGGTCGATACCCAGATCGTCACAGTCGATGGAATTCAGAAGTTCGACCTGCTCAACACCACCCTTCTGCCCCCAGAAAGATCTGTGGAGTCTTAAACTAACAACAAAAGACTTGAAAGAAGGGTGCCTCCGCAACTCAAACCAAAGGATGCAAAAGGCTGCAGGTCTTAAGTTCCGTCGACCTTGCCAAGGGCAATTCATGTGTTTGTTGAATTGGACCGATCGAAATGGACAGCAAGTGGACTAGACTAGACATTGGGTCTGTAGTAGTGTGTTCAAATGGGGGCGATCCTGTACTGTACGGTTCATGCAACCAAATCTTATATGACTTGCTGACAGTCGCGAACAATGCAATATATATAGGACTGCCCTTGTCACCAATATGATCAGTAAAGGAGATCTCACTGTCACTGGCGGTATACTGATATTCCCCAAATGAAAAATCTTGCAAGTATGGAACATGGCTTCTTGCAAAGAAATGCTCCACTTCCATTCTTGTTTCTTCCGTAGATTTCCAGAATGGTTTGGCACATGCAATATTGATGTAGAAATTTCATCTGACAAACAAAGTCACACCGTGCACAAACCTGGTCAAACTGCTTAGCAGTCCGCCCGCATCTCCGCATCAGTCTCGTTCGACTCCAACAACTCCAATTCTATTCCATGAGTGTTCTTCCAACAATAATCCAGGGGTCACATGTCAGGGCGCTTTTTGTTTAAAGTCCCATCCAGTGAGTGGATGTGACAGGGGCACCCTGACTTCCTCCCTTCATTCGGCACCCCAACATGGAAAACAAAACGGGTGTCATCTCTGCATTGGGCTCCGTTGGTACCATTCGGATTTCTTGTTTTTGTGTCTTCAAACACGCTGGCGCCTTCTCATAGGAGGAGACCTTTGGTACCTCCGCCAACTCCACCGGCTGCTCGTCCGAACAGGAGCAGCATGTGAACATGGCGTGAAAGGTACAGGAAACCACGCCGTTCACATCGCGTGCATTCAGCAGGAGTGGTGCAAGTGATTGATTGAGATATATTCACTTTGCTTTTGGGTTATAAGGTTGCTGACGTGATTGATGGATAGCTGCAAGCCAAGGTCCCTGACTGCACAAGATGTTGTGGGGATTTGGACTGCAAGAAGGATGCAACAAGGTAAAGGTGGCCCACAATTTTACTGTGCACACCTTGTGTGCGTTGGAATGTTCTGTTGCGATGATCTCCTGGGGTGGATAGTTCAGTGTTTGAAAGTAAGCAAGTGCAGCTAGGTCCTTCTGCTGGGAGATGGTGCATTCGACTTTTGACTTCAATCTGTCAAGTGGATTGTTATTCTTGAAGCATGGCCCAAGATGCAAACGATGAGCTACATCAAATTGATTCAAATTGCTTTACAGGATCTTGGTGACCGTGAATATGGTTCATCCCGGTGATGGATGCTTGGTGGGATCATGACCATGATCTTTCCTTGGATTCTGAAGGAATCATTGCAGAGCATTCAAAACGAAGGTAGGTTGCTAACAGGTACTCAGCATGCTGAGGAGACCTATTGGTCACCCTTCCACATCACCAGAACCTCTCCTAAGGTCAAGGGAACGCCTGGTCAGCTGGAGAAGATCATGCTGCGGGGCCGCGTAGCCAAGCTTTTAACAACGCTCATGGCTCTGATGAGGTCGCGGATTCTGCAAAGAGCGGATGAGGTCGCTGACTGCACACGCGTCATGAGAAGCGGAGAGAATGCACGTCCCAAACATCCCGAGATCTCCCATGTGGTTGACTTGGAGTCTTTCTGAATTGGTTACACTCTGACTCACATGGAAGTGGATGACATGGCCCCGGGAAGACCAGCTCTACGAACAGAGGGTGTCATCCACGTCCGTGAACGTGAGTGGGAGTGGGACACTCCGACTCACGTGCCATGGTTACGTGGAAAGCTCCTCTGTTCGTAAACTGAAGTTTTCCAAGGGACCATTTTCCACCTCCATGTTACTGAGTCAGAGTGTATCTGAAAAGGATTTCCTTGAAGTCTTGCGGGATTCCAAGCTGAACGACCTTCGACTTCATCTACCTTCCCCTGTGCTGCCGAAGGTAGCATGCATCCAGGGCGGTGGGTGCCACAACCTGTGAAAACTACAGCAACAACTGTGCAAGTTGAATCCCAGAATTGTCTTAGACAATGGACAGGAAACCATGGTGTTGACCCCCAAAAGTATAGGTTTCCTCTAAAATACGCCTTTAAACTTATTCTAGGATTGAATGTATCTGCATGTATTGAATTTCCACCTCCCTCCCGCCAACCCACAGCTAGCCGAGCTCCATCAGGATGCGTCTGTTTCATGTTCTTCCCAGGTGAAACTTTGGGTATGCCCAGCTGGCCACTTTCGCCGCAGGGTCCACCTTGACTAAGCTACTGTACAGCCGCACGTGTTGACGAGTGACGAGACGTGCCAACGACTGCCAGAACGGATCGAAACGACACAGGCGAGTGGGAAGCAAGTGGTAAAAGAATGTAAATGGGATCCGCAGAAGCGCTTTGACAATCATGTCAGTCTCCAGTGCCAAACATGAACTAAGCATAAGAAAGTATAGCAAACAAACATTATAATAGGACATTTATATATAATAGGAAACCAACATCATGGAACATAGTGGGTGAGGGAAATAAGAACAGCGTCAAGAAGTATTCGACAGGGATCAAATAGAAAAGTGAGATCCAGTGAGCACTGAAAGGGAACGCAGGTTAGGGAAAGGACGACAGCAGCAGGGCCGGCGACAAGAGGACCATGAAAGGATGCTTGCAACACATAATTAGAAGCTTAGGCGAGGGCGTGCATTTTTTGGTGTGGATATGCAACGGGTGACATTTAAAATGTCAGTGATTTCGTGGCAGCGGGGTTGCAAACTACAAAAGCCACCAAACGCTGAAGGCTCCCGTCATCGAAAACTGCACACCCTATTGCCCCATCAATGACGGCCTCAGCTAAAACACAGAACAATGAAAGGATGCTTGCAGCCACGTGCAACACAAAATCAGAAAGACTTAGGCGAGTGTGCAATAATGTTGTGTCAGCGATGGGTGCCTGGGTGACCTTTTAGAAAATCTGTCGTGGTAGGCCCAGCATATTGGCAGGTGCTGGATGGGGGGTTGGGGGGGAGGGCAAACATCAAAAGCCATTAGACTCAAAAGGCACCACAAAATAGATCACCATCGATTTCGCTACACACCCCATTGCCTCATCAACGAAGGGCACTCAGAAAGTGACGCAAGGACCAAGGCAACCGGGTAGCGCTTTGTTTTCACAAACCTCGTGTTTTTGACCATGGACCACGAGGCCAGCGGACGAGGACAAGGACCAGGAAAGGGACTAGGGGACCAAAGGACCAAGGACCTACTCAGGAATATTATTGTTGATCCTGTTCATATCCTGTTCTTATTTTGTTCATGGATACTGTCTTTTTGTTGATTCTGTTGTTTGATTTTTGATCTAGATGCCAAACAAATAGAATAAAAAACATGTCATTCATGAATTCTTAGTAATTCTTAATGGACATGCCATGAACCAAAAAACACTTCGTCTGAGTAAGGCTTCCTTTATTCTCTGACACCACGGCCGAAACCATCTAAGACTAAGACCCTTTCATTCACTTCAGATAATCC